TATTTTTAGTAGAGACGAGGTTTCACCATGTTGGCCAGGATGGTCGCGATCTCTTGACCTCGTGATCTGCCCACCTCAGCCTCCCAAAGTGCTGGGATTGCAGGCATGAGCCACTGCGCCCGGCCCTGAAATGTGTTTTTCATTTTAGGGATGTTTGACTTTCAGGGATGTGGCTATAGAATTCTCTTTGGCAGAGTGGAAATGTCTGAACCCTGCACAGAAGGCTTATTACAGGGCCATGATGTTGGAGAACTACAGGAACCTGGAGTCTGTGGGTGAGGAAAATGTCCCTGCAGATGTGAGGAGTCTGCCTTTGTCTATCTTGGCTCTTCCTGGTTTTGTATTCTCTTTAGTGATTTTGTTCCATACATGTTTTTTTTTTAAGATAGTTTCTCTCTTGTTGCCTAGGGTAGAGTGCAGAGATGGGGTTTCTCCGTGTTGGTCAGACTGGCCTCGAACTGCTGACCTCAGGTGATCTGCCCACCTCAGCCTTCCAAAGTGCTGGGATTACAGGTGTGAGCCACCATGCCAGGCCCTTATACATGCTTTTGATGTACATGTCATTATTTTCTGCAGTGATGACCCTGCTATCGGTCATGGATAGCTTCCTAGGGACTCTTTATAGAGTGGGTTTACATAAAAACAGAAAATTCATGAAGAACCCTTTGACTATTATGATTGAACATCATCCTGCTCTAGGCGGAGATGCCCCTGGAAGCCCTGAGCAGAATTGTCAACATGGCCCAGGATATGAAATAGAAAGCATGACACTGACTGACAAGTGTTTCTGACTGTCATGCTGAATTTTTTTTTTTTTCCCCCCAATAGAATCTCCCTCTGTTGCCCAGGCTGGAGTGCAGTGGTACAATCTTGGCTCATTGCAACCCCTGCCTCCTGTGTTCAAGTAAATCTCCTGCCTCAGCCTCCCTTGTAGCTAGGATTACAATCATGCACCACCACACCCAGCCAATTATATTTTTAATAGAGACGGGGTTTTACCTTGTTGCCCAAGCTGGTCTTGAACTTTTGACCTCAGGCAATCCACCCTCCTTGGCCTCCTAAAGTGCTGGGATTACAGGCATGAGCCACCATGCCCGGCCCATTTTGGTTTTTGAGGAGCATCAGAGAAGCATCTCTCACTCGCACTGTGACAATGTTCATCCCATAAACTAATGATCATCTTCTCTAAGCAGCAGTCAGTGGTGTTGAAATTCTTCCTAGTGAGGATGTCATTTGGGCTCACAGCCTCCTATGTATGAGGCTCTTGACTGAACTCTTGTTCATTTCACATTTTTTTTTTTTTCTCGCTCTGTCGCCCGGGCTGGAGTGCAGTGGCCGGATCTCAGCTCACTGCAAGCTCCGCCTCCCAGGTTCACACCATTCTCCTGCCTCAGCCTCCCGTGTAGCTGGGACTACAGGCGCCCGCCACCTCGCCCGGCTAGTTTTTTGTATTTTTTAGTAGAGACGGGGTTTCACCGTGTTAGCCAGGATGGTCTTGATCTCCTGACCTCGTGATCCGCCCGTCTCGGCCTCCCAAAGTGCTGGGATTACAGGCTTGAGCCACCGCGCCCGGCCCCATTTCACATTTTTTATGCTAATATGTGTCATTGTTCATTTTTAACATGAAAACCTATGTTCAGTTTGTTGTGGGATCAACACAGTAACAGATATGGTTTTCATCTTATTGAGGGAGCTTGTGAGGTTGAATGAAGTCTCCATATTTTAGTTCTACTGTAAAATTGTTTAAGACACAGTGGCTTTCAACTTGTTCTTTTCTATGTATTTTTTTTTTTTTTTTAATTTTTGAATTGGAGTTTGCTCTGTTGCCCATGCTTGAGTGCAGTGGTGCAATCTCGGACCTCTGCAAACTCTGCCTCCCTGGTTTAAACAATTCTCCTGCCTCAGCTGCCTGAGTAGCTGGGATTACAGGCGTGTACCATTATGCCTGCCTACTTTTTGTATTGCTAGTAAAAACGGGGTTTCTCCATGTTGACCAGACTGGTCTTGAACCCCTGACCCCAGGTGATATGCCTGGCCA